ACCCCCACCCCTGTTCAAAATCCTAGATCCGCCACTGCCAGGGGAGCTGTATACACATTTTCTGATCCAATCACACGCTCATCCCTTTCTCAGCTCCCTCCTTTTCCTCTAATGTACCGAGACCCTACCTTCTCACAGCCACCTCCTTTGTTTTTGTGTATCCATTGCACATACTTCCCCAGCCAATCTGCTTGCCTCCTGATGGCTGAATCACAAACCAGTGGAAGTTAGGTAGGTACTGTAGGGAACAGCTCAAAGTGCCACTATCTGACAATACACTGTGTGGAACTGCAGCTTCCACTCACCCTCCTCCCTCCTAGTCCTCTGACCATACCCTTCCACTGCAGATATAGGCTAGGGACAGAAGTTACACATAAACCAGTTTAAGTGATCAGAAATTGGGTTAAACCTGTAATGGAACAGAAGCTCAGTGCACATAAACCAGTTTCAAAATGGCTGAAACTGGTTTAAGATAAACCTGGTTGAATGTAGTATCAGATTTAAGTGATTTGGGTCAAACTGGTTTATGAAACTTCTGTCCCAGACCCCTTCCTAGTTCAAGTTAAATCATAGTCCCCAAGCATGTTTTGCAGCCCTGGGCTTGGCTGTCTGCTCCAGAAAGCAGGACTGGCCCCGCCCCTCTGCTCCCTAGCTGGGGCAGTGAGGGCTGGCTGACAAGGGGGGTGGGCAAGCCCAGTCTGTGGGAGGGAGCTGCCCCCTACAACAAACCCCAGTTGGGGTCTGGGGCCAGGAAGGGAGGTTAAATACACCTTTCCCCACTCCAACTTACTACTGGTTACAGCTGTAGACTACAAATCCCAGAGACACCTGGAAGCAGGAAGAGGAAGCGATGAGCAATCCTGCAGAGTCCTGCTGCTGTGATATTTGACTGCAAATCTCAGAGACCTTGAAGGCAACAGGAAGAGGAAGTAAACACACAGCCCATGCTAGGCATGTGCCAGAGAGCTGTGCTCTGGCACCTCCCAGCTTCTGGCTTGAGCTACTGCAGGCATGTGGCTGCACTTCCCGAATCACAAGCAAATGTCCGGTCACGTCTTTTTCAATTTAATCTTTGCAGCTTAGACTAACCTGCAAAGGGTGTGGGAAAACATGGGAATCAGTAAAGAAAAAGGTCTGGGAATCGGGGGTCATTAGAAGAGTTGCTTTTTTATAAAATTGCATTTCTGCTTGGGTTGTTCCAGCATTGCAACCAGAAGATCATGCCTAATACCTCAGAACTGTCTGCATCCCACTGGCAGAGAAACCAAGGCGCAGGGACCAATCTTGCTCAAGAAATTTGCAGATGAGCTGGGGAAGGAACTCAGGAGTCCTAACTCCCAGTCCTTTTCTCCAAACAGTCTTTCATTGTGCCGCCTGAGTGGCGGGCCCACATGCCTTTAGCAAACAGAAGAGGGTTGATATGAAAGGAGGGAGCGGGGGAGGGCTCAGTTGTTCTCTCTCTGTCACATTTGCTATGTGAAGAGAACCAGGCCTCTGCTTTCTGTCCACTGCTGCTTACAGCTGGCATTCTGTCCTGCTCAGCCTTTTGTTCCCTTTCCATGTGTGTGTCAGTCACAAACTCTCTTGAGTTTATTTGGGGCAATATGTCTGCTAGTAATGATCTTTTATTTTTGTGTGGGAAGGATTATCTGCAGAAAGAAAGGTCCTTCTGGGAAAATTAAACTGTTCTAAAAAGTGCCCATTGGCTACCAGCCACTGCTGTTGCTTGTCCTCTTAGATAAATGGAGAGCAGAGTTTACAGACATCCAACTCAGCTGCTATTTTTGGAGCATTAATAGCTATGTCTCAGCTGTCGGTGTGTGTTACTAGTGTAGTTACCTTCCCCAGTGAATCAGCGAGCATTTGAAGGTAAACAGACTTAGGTTGGGGTGGTTGCTAGATGGGAAACCTTCAGAGACAGCCCAGAAAATGATCTGGGTGACTCTCCAGTGAGCAGGAAGAAGCAGGAAGTTGGTAGGGAAGGGAGAGAGGGAGAAGCAGGGATGTAGAGCATCCAGCTCAGCTCCAGACTCGAATCTTCTGAAAGTACTGGCTGATTGGTTTGCCTCCAAAAAATTTGCATGGTTTGTCTCCTCTACCTCATTTTGAAGTCATACCTTAAAGTACTAGCATAGGCACTGCAGAGGGTGCATAGCTATTAGGCTTGTGCAAAACAGCTAGTATTTGCTTCGGATTCGGCCGATTAGGGGGACAGTGATTCAATTTGGTGATTTGAATCACTGTCCCGAATTGATTTGGCCGAATCTGATTCGGAGATTTGGCTGCATCTCTGAATTGGCCGCACACCCCCGCCCATTCTCAATGGCTGCCCCACACACCCCAGCTCTTTAAAAAAAAAGCCCCCATTCACCGGCTGCTGCCAGGCAGGGGGGCGATCCCTGCTGTTCCCCACTGCCCCATGCCACGTGGGGGGGTTCTGCCATGAGCCCTCTGGCCCCCGCCCACTCTCCCAGCCCCCACCCATGGCTGCCCCACCTGCCCCAGCTCCCAGCCCTGTAAAAAAAAAGAAGCTCTGACTCACCAGGTGCTGCTAGATACGGTGGGGGGGGGGCAATCCTCGCTGCCCCCCACTGCCCTGTGCTATGTGGGGGACTCTGTCACAAGCCCCCAGAAGCCCTGAGGCCACTGCAACCCCCCGTAGTCCCTTCCCCTCTTCTACAGCCCCCCCGCCCCTTACTTACCGGCATAGAGTCCAGGTCCAGCTCCCTGCTACAGCCAGTAGGGACTGCTCAAATCGCCAAAGCTCTCCGAATCTTTTCTGAATCGATTCAGAGAGCTTCGAGTCGATTTGGACCTTTTAACTGGTCTCCTGATTCAATTCAGATTCAGAGATTCGGCCACTGAATTGGACCAAATTTCCTCCAAATCGAATCAGCACCCGAAGCTTCGCACAATCCTAACAGCTATGCTGTTTTTGTGAAGGGCTTCCTCCTCCCTCCCATGACCATGCACTTATTGAGCAGTCAGTCAGCTGAGACAATTTGGATTCTTCCCCTGCTTTAGCTTATGGCTTCCACTGGCTTATCTGTGCCCTGAGACGGGCCCAAAACACTTTTGTGATTGGGCGCAGGGGCCACTCCATCTGCTGAAGGGAGGATATTTAGGGCCAGGTTCTGTTCTACCTATTGGGTGCCTAAAGTGGAGTTACACACTTAAGTGTGAGTCTGTTCCACCCTGTTTAAGTCCTGAAAATTCATTAATGCATCTGTCTTTGTAAAATGCTGTCATCTTCTTCTTAAGACTGAGTCACAAAAAAAGCAGTGGGGAGGAAGAGGATCCACACCCCTGTGGCATTAACTGCTTTTCAGGGACTCAAGCAGGATGGAATAGGATCTCACTTTGGTGCTTAAGTCCACTTACCTACCTAATAAGCAGGGATATGGGGTTTTTGTTTGCTGCAGGAAAACGTGGATTTTCTCCTTTAAAGGAAAAAAGGCGGACTGTCTTATTTGAAGAAGAAAATCAGTGATTTCCTTCTTTAAAAGAGAAAATCCATGTTTTTCTCCTTTAAAGCAGGAAACAGCAGGTTTCCCCTTGCAGGCTGGCAGAGTTGCAGCTCACAAAAGGCTGCTTGAGGTGGGGGAGCAGGGGAGGTCAATCACAGGGTGTCAATCCAGCACACGCATGCACATGTAAGTGGCAGCCAGACAGTGTGGTGGAGAGCAGCTCCCACAGCTCTCCTCAGGTAAGGTGGGGTGAGGGAGGGGGCACAGGCCATGTTTTGGGGGACATGGTAGAGGCACATGCCCCCCCAGATTTGTGCACTCACAGCAGGGATGGGGCTGCACTCTGGCTGCACCAGCATGGGCAGGAGCTGCCTCCATGGCCCAGCAGGTGGAATCCGATGTGGGAGGGCAGAGCAGACAGACTCATTGCTGCCACCATCTGGACCCCCATGCCAGCCATGCTGCCACCAGCACAAGAAGAAACTGCAGGGGAGGAGTTAGGCTGCCCTCAACTCCTCCCACTGCCAGCTGCCATGGCCCAGCCCCTGCTGCTTCCCTCAGGCCATGGCTTTACCTGGGAGGGGAGGGGAGGGGATGTGGTGGGCAGCAGCAGTGGCCTGAGGTGAGCAGCAGTGGCTGGACCAGGGTGGCAGGACAGATCCATGGCCCAGTGCACAAGCGGCTGGCAGCGGGAGGGGGTGAGGGCAGTGCAGCCCGTCCCCCTCTCTGTTACTTCTCACGCTGCTGGTGGCGTGGCTGTTGCAGTGGTCCCAGCAGCAGCAGCAATGAGTCTTGCTACCCCACTCCACCCTCCCGTGCTGGGTCCTGCCCGCTGGGCTGTGGAGACGGCTGCTGCTCATGCCGGTGGGGCCAGACTGTCCTTGCATGCCCCCTCGATGCATCACCTATGGCATCACCTATGTTTGGGCACCCCCCTACCTCACACCCTGCTCCCTCACACATTGGGGGTGAGGGACTGTGGGTCAGAAGTGAGGGGTACCTGCAGGGCCAGGGGCTGCAGGTCGGGTGTGAGGGGTACCAGAGGGCTGTTGGGGCTGTGGCTTGGGAGTAAGGCACACTGACATATCAGGGCTGCTCAGCACCACAACCTGTGTCCTGGTGAGCAAAGGGGGCAAGGGGAGCTCTAATTTTTCCATGAGGGGAAAAAAAAAATCAAATACTAAAGCATATACATGTTTAGAATTGATTTTGTTATAATGATTGAGGCACTGGTAGGCTTCCAAATTGCTTTAAAATTGTAAATATACCAATTAAGCATTGTGTTCAGCTGACACCTATATATATAGTGGCGCTTCATTTTAATTGCAGAAAAACGTGGCTTTGGAGGTTTTTAATCAGAGAATTTGGGATTTTTAACAGAGAAACCAGGATCCCTGCTAAAAAGTGGAATACAAGCTGGTCCTGAGTATTCTTCCTGGAATCTCAGTGCCAAGCCAACCACTGCAGTTACACCAGATAGGAGAAGCAAGAGGTGGCCTCTTCTGAATGCTCTGGAAACACATCTACTGGAAAAGGAGAGACAGGAGCTGAGGGATCTGAAAGAGTTGTGGCTACAGACATGACTGATAAGTAAGAGGAGACTGCCTAAGCAAGTGGGATGGAGACCTTGCTTGATTGGCAAAGTAGGGTTTGTTTACTCCCCCTTTCTCTGCACAGACCATCTTGTGGTCATGGAAGGGGTCATTAGTGCAGCCAAAAGAGGAGACAGGCTGGGCCTAAGTGACTCCTGGGGGTTACCCCGTGGTTTTTGTGGGTCAGTAGCAATGTACTCTGTAATTACCATGGTGCCTGTTCAGGAAGGTCAGATGGTGTTATTTTCCTTCCATAATTGGGACTGAGCTATTAAGACCTAACTATCGCTAGGAGAGGGCATTTCCCTCTTCCCTCTCTGAAGCTGCAGTGGTGACATCCCCAAGAGCCTACTCTGTGCGTGGGAAAGAAAGACAAGGGATAAAAGGCAGCTGAGATGTGTCCTGCAGATAGGGACAAGGGCAGCTCCCTTCAAAAGGACATTCAAAAGCACACAGTACAATTTCCAGTCTGTAAGAACTCCCTGGTAGCACATGGTAATCATTTGGGTTGTTATTATGGAAACATTACCCAAACCTCTTTGCCTGCTCCCAGAGCTCAGCCTGCAAGGATGCCCTGGTAGGCAGTAGCTGTGCCCAGGTAACATATGGGGAGCCTGCTCACAGCTTGGCCTTTGCTTTCTTTTCTTCTGTCTCTTTTGGTCTTTCCAAAGCTCATATTGGGCATAACAGCAGTTTTTCAAGGATTCCCACATCTTCTGCTGCAATAGGTAGCTATGAAATTGGGGTAGATAGTATTGCCAACCCCACCGTGCCAAAAATCATGGGATGAACTCCTAAAAAAATCAAGAGGTTGGCATGTAAATTATGAGATGCTATTTTTTAAAGTGTACGTGTGAGGATTATTTGTGAAGGTGTGGTGGGGTTTGGAGCTGGGGGAGGGAACCCCACATACCCTAGGACATGGGGTACTGTGGGTCAGGAGTGAGAGGCAGCAGCAGGGCTGGGGGGGGCTGTGGCTTGGAAATGAAGAGCAGACACTCACAGAAACACAGACAGCACCCAGCTGGTAAGTGGAGGGGAAGAGGTTGGGGGGGAGAGGTAAGCGGTGGGGGAAGGGGGTGATCGAGGCCCCCCACAGTGAGGGAGGGAGTGGGGCAGGAGCACCAGCAGGGGTGAATGGGTCCAAAGGTGTATGTGTGGGGGTGCACAGCTCCCCGCAGCAGCGCACACCCCTGGGGGAGGCATGCGGGGCATGTGTCCCTCGCAGGGCAGAGGCAGGCTGCCTACTGTGGACTCAGGGCTCTGTACCCTGCTGCCTTTGCTCCAGCAGCTCAGCCGTGCGATGCCACCTGCTGCTGGGCAGGCAGGGGACATGATGTGCAGCTAACGTGCCCCATGTCCCCTGCCCTCCCACCGGGTGGCAATAGCGTTGCATGACTGAGCTCCCAGGGCAAAGGCAGTAGGGTGCAGAGCCCTGAGCCCACAGCAGGTAGGTCACCTCTGCCCCATGGTGGGGGTCATGTGCCTCATGCCTCTCCTGGGGGCAGGGGGGTGTGCTGCTGCAGGGAGCCACAACCCTCCCGCTCCCCACACCTCTGGACGACCCGCCCTGGGGCCCCATTCACTGCTGCCACTGCTCCCTCCCCACTCCCTCCCTCACCGTGGGGGCCTCAATCTCCCCCCCTACTGCTTACCTCTCCCCTCGCCCATTCCCTCTTCACCGACTTACCAGCTGGGAAGATACGGAGATCTGATGATTCAATCAGGACATTGCGAGTCAGAGTTACTTTAACTTAGAAATCCCAAGTTTCACAATGGTTTCGCGACAGTTGGCATTACTAGGTAGATGCCAGGGTGACAATTGACAGTTGTTTTCTCTGCAGCTTTGCAAAGCAGAATTATGCAGGCTTCCCCGCACTGTACCGTGTGGGGTCCCCTCTGTGGTCACCTTGAGACGCAATGCCTGGACTGGAATACAGGCCTTTCCCATGCTTGGATCTGATGCACAATCAAATTAGGGAGGCAGGTTTGGGTCATGAGATTCAAAGCCTAGACCTCCCTTTTGTCTGAGGTATTATGGACTCCATGTTCTGGTTTGGGCCAACTGGGAATATAAATCCTACCTAGTACTTCTATTCATTCTTCACAGAGAGGCTTGTTTGAGGGGCAGGTGCTCAAGTTGCCATGATGCTAAGATGATAAGGTCAAATCAGAGTCCTTCCCAGCCACCAGCAACAATCAGCCCTTCACGTCCTCCTTACACAAACCTGCTCCTATCCAGCCCCTTCCCACAGGGGTATTTGTATGCAGGGTTGTGACTTGAGCCACAGTAGATCTAAGGCTCAGGAACAAGGGGCGTGTACAGAAGTGCTCCATGCACATTTTACAGTGCTGTAATTTAGAGCATTTTTTTATAGCACTGTAAAGTTACAGCACTCTTAAACATGACAGAAGTGCAGTATTTGGTGGGGTTGGGGGAGAAGGGGGTCTGAGCCTCCCTGCACCTTCCAGGCTAGGAGGCAGGGGGCAGTTCACAGCCTCTTGGGGCTTCTCCACTGGTCATAAATTTGACCAAATACAGAAGTTATTTAAAGTGCGGTAGGTTGCTAAATTAGGTGCAGACAGAAGAGACAAGTTCCACCCTGTTAATAGATTCATAGATGCTAGGGTCGGAAAGGACCTAACAGATCATCGAATCTGACCCCCTGCCTGGTTA